GCACAAAGTGTTTTCTGACTGCTTAGGGGAGTCTGTAAATTTGCAGAAGATTGCTAGTTTGTTAAATAGGAGGCAAAAGGGGGCAGGGGGGAAGAAGGGAACAAATGTACAGAGAATGCCCTGATAGAAACCCCCCTTATGATTTCAAGCTCTACCCTGCCATGCTGACTGAAGGATTCTGGGAGTTGAAGTCCAGGAGATACCCGGGAAGAAATAACATTGTCTGTAAGGAGGTGGGGGGCCCCTGATGTCTGGCTAGTGAAAGGTTGCTGAGCCCTGCTTCGGATTTGGGAGCCATTTTGTAAGTTCCCTCTGTTTAATATTGGGAGATTCTGATCAATATTGTATTCTATAAACAGGTTGTTGGAATTTTAAAAGGCTGTGTTTGTATAAGATGAGGCCTGTGGGGGCTAGCCAGAAACAGAACATTGGCCATCTGGCTATTAGTGCCAGAGTGATTTTGGAAGGAAGATATTTTTCCAGATATTTTGGGGAGGAAGAACAGCTCTCCTCACACCTGCTGCTTCACCGTCAGTGAATTGCAAACTGCAGCTTTACTTGAAGCAAGCTTGCATTCTTTGACGATATCTTTAACACCAACGCTATTAAACCACATCATCTTCCCATTACAGGCCCTTGGAAAGGACTTGATAGCCAGATAAAAATGCCAAATCCAGTCTAAACACCTGGCTGACTGTGCAACCAGTCATAATAACAACATGCTAGGTCAAATCTTTTTTTTTTTTTAACCTTAATACACAAGGCTACAGAACCTGCAAGGACGTATCTGCGTAGCACTTTTCAACTTTCAATAAAAATGTTTGCCGGAATCTATAAAATAAGATGAGTTAATAATATCCCACTGCTCTGCACATAAATCATCTCCCAGCATTTGGGCAATTGAGTGCAAAGTCATAGGAAGAATTGTGATACACACTTGTAATATTTAATATGCAGTTGAATTAAATATTAATAGGGTAAAATTTAAATAACTTTGATCGTGTTTGTTTTAACTATCCGTATCTTGTCTTTCAGCAGAAAAGCTCCCATAGTAGCTATTAAGTTTCCCAATATTGAAATTACTGTTGCTTTGCATATAACTTCCTTCTTCTTTTTGGTATACTTTAGGTACTGGATTTATGACTATACACCCCTATCCTAGGCCTGCTTTAATATAGCAGGGATGTATATAGATATCTCATGAGGCGGAAAAAGCCTTCATTCTGGCATCCAGAAATCAGCTGGAAATTTTGTTTGTTTTCTTGTTTTTAACCTGTAAACCTGCTGTGGTGAAGGCATAGAACATCTACAGAAATTGTCTCTATAAATTGTTCCCTCATCCGTGAGCAAAAAATGACCCCATTCAGAGATTGTTCACCCCATTCCTCTTTGAGAATCAGAGCGGATGTCAGTGCCCTTTATGCCTGTCTTTCAGATAACAGAATAAAAGAGTTGGAAGGGACTTTGGAGGTCTTCTAGTCCAACCTCCCTGCTGAAGCAGGAGACCCTATACCATTCCAGACAAATGGCTGTCCATTCTCTTGTCAAAAGTGGTCCACAACTTATGGAAGGCAAGCCATTCCACTGGTTAATTTCTCCTTAGTTCTAGGTTACTTCTCCCCTCGATTAATTTCCACCCATTGCTTGCTTTCTGGTGCTCTGGAAAATAGGTTGACCCACCCTCTTCTTCGTAGTAGCCCCTCAGATATTGGAACACTGCTATTGTATCACCCGTGATCTTTCTTTTCACTAGACAAACCCAATTCTTGCAACCGTTCTTCATGTTTTAAGTCCCCAGCCCCTTAATCATCTTTGTTGCTCTTTCCCAAGTCTCTACATCTTTTTTATAATCAAAGGATGGAGAAGTCAAAAAAGGAGAGGACAAATAGAAAGAAGCAATGACCTGCACCCCTTTGATAGGGACAGCTTGGCAACGTTGTTGTGCAGTTTGCAAAAGCAGTTCAGACTCGCCGACATTTGATCTCCAAGATCTTTTCAGGATTATGTGAGTACAGCATAAACGAAAAGTAGAATCAGTTGCTTTAATTCAACCTAGGGCTTGAATTGGGCTTTCTGTTCTCATTGACAAGCCTAGAAATGCTGATTTATGGAGCAGTATGTTTTTCTGGTTGTATTTGGGAGTGTCAGCCCTTCAAAGTAGATCAGTCTACAGGTTAATATGATCTTTATTATATAGCTACATAACAGAATCTTGCAGGTCCGAATATACTTCCTCCTCCTTTTCCTTTATTTTCATGTGTACCAGAGAAGGTCCTACCTGAAATATATTCTAAGGTTACAACTTTGCCCCATATTCAAGTTTATCTGACTGTTGCCTTCTTCCTGTATCTCAAGGTTATTCCCCCCTCCCACTACTTTGAATGAAGGCTTGTTTTGTTTTGCCTGGCTGCTCAAGAAAGAGCTGTTGGCACCACACACATTGCAACTGTGCACATTCTTACCAGATAGAGGTATTAGTTTGTGCTGTCTGTTGCCCTTTACAACTTCCCTGAGTTGCCAGGGAACTTTAGTGTGAACACAACCAAGTTGTCAACTCTGAAGTGAACCTGGCTGGAGTAATCTTTTGCTGCCTCATAGTTGTCACAAATTCTGAAGGGGGGAAAAAGGAGGGGGAAGTAGATAGACGGGCTAACAGTCAAAACACCAAGTTTTCTTGTGGGAACCAAGGTCATCCTAACAGGTGGCAATTGAAGGAAGTGAGGAATGACCAAGCAGCCTGCCAGCTACTTACATTGGACAATGTGACCAGTGACATTTGGGGAAGGAACAATTTGTTCTTTTACTTAGGCTAAAAGCTGTGGGAACTTTTAGAGTTGGTTTTCCACTGGCTGTGCCAATATGATGTATCCAATAAGCATGATCTTTTGAGGAAGCTACCTGCCTTGGAGTTCTGCTTTTGGTGAATGTGTTACTCAGAATGCTGATACAAGTGTAGGGATAGTGGCACACAATATCTCTGAGTACGTTCCACTTTTGTTTCTATTTTTTTTCTATTAGTTTTATTTTGTATATGTTGCATTCAAAGGGTTATTCTGATCTACGGCGGTAATAGATATTTGATTAATTGGAACCAAAGTTGGGAATCCTTCCCTTCATCAAACGATACAATTCCTCTAGTGCCCGAGGGACAACTGTTCACTAGGAGTGGGTGTTTGTGACATGGTAATGAAATTGAAGTTGGTTATCGCTACCCAGTTTGTATTCAAGCAACCTTCAAAATAGTTCAGTTGAAAAGATATACTAAAGGATGTATTCTGCTACACCTCAAGTTGAACGTAGTCCTCAGCATCACATAATTCTCTAATGGCAATGCCTTCAAACTAAACCATTCCAATTTATTATTAGTTTTGTATGAGTATGGTCTGCAAATGCATATTATAAGCATTAAAACTCTGATGTAGTAGGTTCCCTTTTCAGCCCACCCAAATCATATAAGCACATATCCAGGAAAGTCATGGATATGAGGGACGAAGAGTTTGTCCTGCTGAAAGCTCTTTGTATAGACATGATGTCACCAAACACAAGTGTTACGTAACAATATTGGAGAAAATGAGGAAAAGTTCATCGGATGGCTATTTAGACATGATCCCAATGCTGTTGGGTTGGGTTTTTGTTTATATAATATAGTTGTTTACCATTGACTTTTTCTGGTATATTTTTTAGCCTTCTTAATCTAGTATCTTAAGAATTTCTTGCTGGCTTGTTACTGAATTCCTAATCGGCTCTAATTCTGATTATATTTTTCAGCCCAAGCCACTGCTGGTTTAGGTATTCAGACTTTTGAGATCTTGGCAAAAATTGGTTGAAAATCCTGAGATCCATATCATTTTGGGCAACCTCCAAATTACACCAGATATATCCTGGAGACTCTACCTGATGTGATAAAAAAAGCATTTTATATAAATAGGACATTGCCACTTATAGCAGTAAGGTAAAGGTAAACGTTCCCCTTCCACATACGTGCTAGTCATTTCTGGCTGTAGGGGATGGTGCTCATCTCCATTACAAAGATGAAGAGCCAGTGCTGTCTGAAGATGTCTCCGTGGTCATGTGGCAGGCGTGACTAAAGTATTTTGCTTCTTGCATTTTTACATGCTTTCGAACTGCTAGATTGGCAGAAGCTCACCCCGTTACGTGGTGCTAGGATTCGAACTGCAGAACTGCCGATCTTTCCGATCGACAAACTCAGCATCTTAGCCACCGCACCTCTTTAGTTATAGCAGTACAGGCCTTAAATAGATAAGAATAGCTAAAATAGTTTTTAAAAAACCAAATAAACAGAGAAAAGGCACACATTCTTATTTAACAACTAATTGATTTATTTAACAATACAAATTTCTTTCTACTGCTTGGTGTAAGCAGAGAAAAGCTGAGAAACAAAATTAAGTTCTTTTTAAAGTTTAAATGTGTACACAACCCCATCCCCCCAACTTCTTACTTCAGTAAATATAAAATTTACAGACAGAAAAAGCAACATGAAGAAGGAACAAGGTGTTGACAAACTGATGACAGGAAGGAAATTTTAGAATTAGTCATATAATCTTAGTAAAGAAAGTTAACGGGCAGCATTGAGAAGGCATCCCATTTATATTTCAAATTTTCTGCAGTCTGAAACTTTAGTGCATTAAAAAATGAGACATAATTATACTATATACTATATATTATATGATATAAATATTTGAAAGCTTTGCAGGGCCCATATTTAATATAATGTGAAATATATGTTTTGCCACTTTTTGTAAATTTATGGGATATGCAATATACCGATGCATTTTATCTTTTCACTAGGAACCAGCAAGATCTTTAGAGTCTTTCCTTGGGGTGTACTTGCCAGGTAACAGGTCATACATTCTTGTCCTAATTTATAAGACAAATGTACCAAATTCATATGCCTCATAAACGCCACTCATTTCAGTGGGAATTGTGAAAATCTTTTGAAATTAATGGAAGATGACTAACGAAGATGCCCTAATATTTTCCCATGTATACCTTCTGTTCTCTCCTTACAAACTAGCTGTAGGAATTGTTCTCACAGAAGAAATGCTAAAGATGAGTTGAGTTTATGTTGCAGAGATCAACTGGGAATCTTGACTGAACACTTCTTTACACCTCCTCACACAAGAAGGCCCATGAATCAAGAATGTTGATAACACAAGGTTAAAATGTTTCCTTTTGTTGAAATTTCTGGTGGAAGAAGCTGTTTTGGAAATGGGGCAAGGGATAGAGTAGCCTCTCTCTAACATTTGTGGCAGGACAGCCCCGAAATACTTTTGACGCCTCTGTGAGAACTAGCCTATAATACCAAACAAAATATAGGTTAAACACATTGCCTTTATCAATTGCCTACTGAGGAGGCTGCTGTAATGAACAGGCATTTTATTTTGGGTGTTTGTTTCAGGATCTGAAATAGTTCCTGGGTTGTTAATAAACCCTTAAAATTCCAAGTGAAAATGACATTTAGCTGGGAGGTAAACAGGATAGTTTGTCATTTGAGCTGTATTGCAGTGGATGCAGGTATGTCTCAAATGATATTGCTCTAGGTGTCATATTCTGAGACCATAGGTCTTATAGATGAACCTCTCAGATCTTGAAGCCTCTACAATTTGTTAATACTCTGCATGATAAAAAAAATGTTGAATTCCAGCCAGAAATATACAAAAAGTACAAAAATGCTTGACAGAAGTGCTTCAACAGCACCCCTCCACCATGCACAATAGTTTTGTTCAGTTTGAACCTAGAAGCCTGAAACATAAATAGTAAGGAGTATCTGTCACATAAACACAAATCATCTTTCTGGATGACTGGTTTGCACTGTTTGGTGTTTGGACTACATAAATAAAGGCCTATGGTGGTCATGCAATGGGAAAAGGAATGCTAATATTTTACGTGTGCTGTGGACTAAGCTATCCATGTGATGCACACAACCTTATTTTGCTGGGTAGGACAGCCTATCAACCCTGGCGGTGAGCAGATTGTGATGAAAATCTCATGTAAATGTAACGTTTCCATCAAGCTCTCCTAAGTGTGCAGTCTATGTATTTGGGGATCCCATTCATTTCACGTGGAAAGATGTGGAGAAAAGCCTACATCATATCTTGTGCCGAAAGTTACTGATTTTCCTTTAAAAATTCGTTATTTCTAAGTCAATATTGATTTATATTCTTCTGACCTCATTGAGAAAAAAAACTCACTTGAAGTTTCATGACACTGTTTATGACACACACAGAGATGTGAATCATGCAACCGTACTGCTTTGGAAGATGGGTTTACCATAATTCAGAAGCCTACCTCTAAAGCCCTGGAGCAGTGGACATCTTCTACAAATTAGAAAATATGGGCAAAATCCAAAATCCTCAAAATTTTGGAATTATAAAGATGACCCTATTTATGGTAAATTATATAAATAGGTGGGAGATTATGTGAAATCCAGTAAAATTTTGGTAATTTGCTCCTTCATCCTGGAGAATGCGTAAAAAATTACCCTGCCTTGCCATCAACTATACTCACAATGGCCTTATCAGCTATACACTCACTGGTCAAGAATCAATTGACTAATTAAGAATCAACTGACACCAGAGCATATGTCATGTTTCCATCAGCTCCTTGGCATCCAACAGAGAGAATTGTACAGTATCACAGTTCTTAACATCTTCAGGACTTCAGGTTCTGATCAGATGCAGAAGTGTAGAAAAGTTTGTTTCAAGCAACTGGAGGTTGTCAGGTTGTTTACAAGTCAACAGGCTGTTACACTTGGCAAATTGTAGTCCGCACTATTTGCCCACTCTGTCAAAGCTTTTTGTGCTGCAACGGAGAACAATTAGGCATCAAGTGCAGCTCAACAATACCATTCCTCTGTCAAGGAAAAATGGGAGTCGATCTAAACATGAGATTAAATTTGCTGCCTAAGTTGTGTTTTATGTTTTTCAGCTGATAAATATTGGTTCAGGAGATTGCAGAAGAGACTGCAAGACTAGTGACTTAATCTTGCCCATGACTGTGGTCCTAAAGGTCCTATTCCTCTCCCCAAACTATAATAGCAACCGTGAACATTGTGGTTGGACCTCATGGCTACCAGGAATGAAGCGAGGAAGGGCAAGGTCAATGGAGTTTCTTGATTGGTCCTAATTTTGCTTTGCCATCATTACATCCTTGAACTTTAACATTCTACAGATTTAGTGGAAACATTCCTCTGCCCTTTCTGCTGGAGAACAGATGTTCATGTGATGGATGCTATAACATGAATTTTACAGGAGTGAGGATGATCCTACTACCTACCACCACCACACTGGTTAGTATTTCAAGGCAGCAACTGGGAGGAGAGGAGAAATAGTGATGGAAGGTATCATCTTTTTAAAGCCTTACTGGTGTTCTAGCTTATCTGTTTGTACATGTCCATGGCTATAAACGCCAGGTTTAGCGTTATGAAGTTCTGCCTTAAGAAACGTTGTTGGAGGCAAGCTACAAGTCTCATGATGTTCCAGGCCTTCTGAGTGGGGCCTTCTTGCCTTACGTTAGGTTTCCACAAGGATCTGTATATAAACAGTCCTACTGGCTCTGCCCACATTTTAGTTTCAAATATGAAAACAGAGAAGTTCTTCCTTGGGGAACATGTTTATTGTGTTTGAGATGATACACTGGATGCTCTCTGAGCTACAAGTGGGTGGTGATGAGAGGGGACAAGGATAAAAGAAATCCTTTTTTGTTACAAACTGACAAAGGTAAAAGTCTTAAACATTTTTCACAACAGCATGTACCACATATCGGAAATAGATCTGGGCTTAATACAAATGACGTAATTCCTAGTAATCTACAGCTACCTTTAATAACTTCATACAGATAATGAATTAGGCTAAAATGCACTATTATATTTGGTTGACTTCAGGAACAGTATCCTTAGTTACATCACAAAATACATTTTGATATCCCAAAGAAGCAAGACTTGCAAGTAGGCATTTTAAACATAACTAATCTACAGCTACAAAGTTCTACTCTTGACAGCATTTACCTTTTGGGGAAGGGGAGGAGGGAAAGAAAGCAGTATTCCAATCTTCAAAAGGATAAAAGCAGAGAGTAGAATCAGTATAACATATACACAGAAGTCCGTATTGTAAAGGCTATAAAGTTTGGTTGCACACTGCAAAGCTGCATCCCCGCACCTTCACACTGCGCCAAGTAGTCAACATCACTTATGTTGCATATCTCTTGGTCCACTGTCTGGCTATCCTGTCATGTTCTGCTCTGTTGGTCAGGTACTGAGTGGCTATGCTTCCCACCAGAGGATCAGCTGCAAGAATTTGGCAAGGGACAACAGGGGAGGGAGAGAGAGAGAAAGAGAGAGAGAAAGAAAGAGAGGGAGGAAGGGAGGGAGGATGGATGGAAGGAAGGAAGGAAGGAAGGAAGGAAGGAAGGAAGGAAGGAAGGA